TAGCACGTGTTCAGATATATACGCCGGGCCACGTAAAACTTTAAACGCGTTTTTCTCGAAACCACGTTTTTGTAGCTGAGCGCTCGCATATCTCAGCCAATTTTTATCCGAATGACTTGATTTTTGGACAGAATGTTCACAACAAAATTGTCTTCAGTTAAGCGTACGATTTTTTCAATCGGATAATTATTTTTGGAAAAATAATTTAAAAAAGTAATGATTTTTTTCGCCAAATAGCGAACTATTTTTTTAAAAGAGTGCCATTTTGTTAAAAATTATTTTTTCAAAAAATCCGTACGCTTAACTGAAACTACACTTACATACTTTAAAATGAAAAAAAAATTTTTAATTTTTGACATCCCGTTCAGACGCATCACGGGCGTCCGCGCACCCATGTTTTTCCAATAGAGGTTTACGTCATCGAAGACGGAGGCCACAAATATTAACATTAGTTTATGATTTTTTTTTTATAAAATCTTAAATATATATATTTTTAATATATAAAGATAATTTATACAATTTATTAATTATCGCAAAAAAAATTCACGAAAATAGCCTTTTTTTCGGCCGTCACAGTGATGTTCCCCCTTAATGTATTTTTCAAAACTTCGAAGCTTCGAAGACACCTTAAACTTCGAAAGGTCGAAGTTTACGTCGAAGCTTCGAATATTCGAAATCAGTAAAAAGTAACAGCCCTACTTGTTACGTCTTTTTACGCGAAAACTCGATTAATTCTTTTTTACATCCAAGACGAGCGTCGTTTACGTAAAACTGCGATCAACCTTCATCGGCTGAATCTCCTTAAAATACCGGACTTCGCAGATCTGTGATAATTCCATAATGAAATTTGATTTCACCCCCTCCCCCTCCCTCCTCCAGCTCTGATAACAATTATGAACTTGAAACTTTTCTATAATTAACGTTTCATTATAAGTTATCATTTGACACGCAGTTCAGTCCCAAAATCGAGGACCCCAAAAAAACCACCTTTTGTGGGTCGCTCTTTCTGTTTCGCGGTTTTTATTACGGAAGTGACAGACCATGCAAGTTTGTCGTATCGTATATAGAAAAGGCGTAAGAGTTGCGGTAATTGGTGTATAATTTCCGATCGCTCCTAGGATCGTCAGATCAGACTAATAATTGTAAGTTCAGTTAAGGCGATGCCGGAAGATCGAAAAAATTTGCACGAGGTCGATAAAACAGACTCTTTGGTGTCAGTGGTATCTCTAAATAAATTTCATACAATATCTTTTGTCTCACTCAAACACGTGCAATGTCCTTATCTAACTGATTGAAGTGCCATCTGTTGCAAAATCCAGCACTTACTGCTAGATGCAATTTTTGCTGTCTTTGCGTGCAAATTACCATAAATTGCAGTTGGAACGATAAATCTTTTTCTACGCTTTCAATCGTAGCTCAAAAAGTCTTGTATTATTTGTTCCTATAATCTGAAGGAGACGAGCTACTTATTTTGTACATATGAGTTACAGAACTTTTATACCAATGAAATGTTTACGTCAGGTGATAGGTTACAATTGCTGTACGACCCAAAAAAAGGTAATTTTTTAATTTTTTGTCGTTTTTACTACAAAAAAATAGCTCGCCTCATTATATTTTATATTTATTTCAATCCTGTAAAAACGATTTTAATTCCGTTCAGTATTTTTGAAGTTATCATTCCAATTGCAAATGTCGGTATTCCGGCATCGCCTTAAATACTTGAAGTCAAGAAAGTCACATTGTATCAAAACTCACGAAATTACATATTTCGCGCGCTTCTAATTTTTCACTGTCCTGATAAATATGAGACCTATTTTAGCCCTTCGTGCTTTTGAAAGTAGATAATAGGGGGAGCTACTAGCATTCCTAAACATCAATAGGTTAGAAAACCGATATAACTTTATAGTCTATAATATTCAGTACGTTGAACGCTTGTCGACGCACGTGTTCGACGCTAGTACGAGTGCACGCTATACACATTTAGTTTTCAATTTTATTTTTAAGCCGTGTAAATTATGAATGAAGAGAAAGTGTATCGTACCAAAAAAGGTACGAAAAATTCAACGTCGTCATCGCGAAGAAGCAAGATTTCAAATAGACGGCCGCTGAATCGATTCGAGGCAGAACAGGATTCGGAGAAAGTCAGCACATCAGCGAAAAAATTAAAGTCGTCCAAATTTAATAATGATGTGCCAGTTGATGACACCTTCGGCTACAGAATATTGCATTTCGCAGCCCTCGCAAGTGCGATTTCGGCATGTTTAGTGTGCAGAACGTGCGGCAAAGATGTGATTTTGTCGGAGACTAGTAAGCGAGGATTAGGTTTCAAAGTAATTATTTCCTGTGGAAATTGTGAAGATAAATATTGTTCATCCTCTCCATACATAAAAAACGGCTACGAGATAAATAAACGAATTACTTTTGTAATGAAAATACTAGGCATTGGCTTACAAGGAATGAAAAAGTTCTGTGCTTTCATGGACTTGCCAGCTCCGATTTTTCACTCTTTTTATGACTCAATTGTACAAACAATTGCAATAGCTACAGATGCAGTTCGTTTTATGAGTATGAAACAGGCAGCAAAAGAAGAAAAGGAGATAAGCATTACAAAAGGACAGACTGATGGAATTATGGTTTCAGGCGATGGCTCATGGCAAAAACGCGGATTTTCTTCTTTATACGGAATCGTAACGCTCATCGGTTGTCATACCGCTAAAGTTATTGACGTTATCGTAAAATCCAAGTATTGTGAATCGTGCGAGTATTGGGAAAAACATGCCGACAGTGCTGAATATGAAGAATGGGCGACAACGCACGCAGAAAATTGTCAAAGCAATCACAGTGGCTCTGCTGGAAAAATCGAAGTGGACGGCGTACTTGAGATGTTTCAGCGTTCGATCGAACTGCACGATGTTAAATATACAAATTACATAGGTGATGGCGATAGCACAACATTTAAAGGCGTAACGGACGCACAACCTTACGGCGATATTATCGTCAAGAAAAAAGAATGCATTGCTCATATTCAAAAACGCATGGGAACTCGTTTACGAAATTTAAAAAAATCAACGAAACGCCTTGGCAGAAAATTAACGGGCAAATTAATTGATGAACTTACAATATATTATGGCCTAAGTATTCGTCGAAACGCAAATTCAGTCGAAAATATGAAAAAAGAAATTTGGGCAACTCTTTATCATCAACTTTCGACAGACGAAAATCCGCAGCACGGAAACTGCCCTCGAGGCGCCAACTCTTGGTGCTCGTGGCAAAAAGCATGTGCTGAAAACAATTTAAATTCGTATAAACATAAACCAGCGCTACCCATCGAAGTTTTCAACGCTATCAAACCAATATACGAAGATCTTAGTCATGACGATTTGCTTGAACGTTGTTTGGATGGATACACTCAAAATAATAATGAATGTTTTCATTCGATTTTGTGGAATATTGCGCCGAAGAATGTTTCAAGCGGTAAAAAAGTACTTGACATAGCAACGGATGTTGCTGTATGCACATTCAACGATGGCCTATCTGCTGTTATGAAGATTATGGAGGTGCTCCAGTTCACCATTGGCTCAAACTGTTACAATTTTTGCGTGGAAGCTGACGCAGCGAGAATTTGCCTAGCCGAGGTGCAAATGTCGGACGCAGCAAAAGAGGCACGCTCGGCATCAAAATCTACGAAAAAGGCTGGAGAATATGAAAATATACTAACATAGAAGGTCAATTATATGGTGCTGGGATAGCAGACTAATGGTAAAAAATTATATCATAGCAATTTTCAGTTTTATATACTAGAAAATACTACATAAAACTTTAAACGCGTTTTTCTCGAAACTATGTTTTTTAAATTGGCTTGCAGCATAACTCAAGCAATTTTTAACCGAATGACTTTCATTTTTATCATATCTTTCAAATTTTAATCATATCTTCATAATTAGATTTTCAAGAGAAGTACTTATGGATTTTTAAAAATATTCAAAATTGCAAAAGTTATAAACAAATATAAATCGATTTTTTTAATGAAAATCGATATCACTTTTTTAAAAGCTTGTGATTTCTTAAAAAATCAATATTTTTCAAAATCCGTACGTACTTCTCTAGCCATAGACTTATAGATTATGAAAAAAAAATTTTTTTTTTCAGGACATTTATTCAACTTATGCTGCAAGCCCCGGAGCCACTTTTTAAAAAGACGACTTTTTTACGCTGCACCGTGCCGCCATTTGTATGATCGATTTAAAAAATATATATTTTTTCATACCTTATTATATATATAAACATGCGGTTTAGTTTATTTTTTGAAAAAAAATTTTTATCAACCCGAAAAAAAATGTTTTAAAGTAGGTGCGTTTTTGTGCTTCTATACAGTGGCATAAGGCCTCTTTAGCTAATTTAGTCTTAACGCAACTTTTAACTTGACTAAATTAATTTGATAAGTCATTAACTCTAACTTAATTTAGTTTAAAAAATATATATTAGCTCACCCAATCCTGCGCTCGACAAATTGTCGGACGGCGCTTTCCCCCTCGAGATTTCGGATGATTTGCCGGATGACTCCTTTCCTGCAGCTCCCTCGGACCTCGCGCTCGCGACCGTCCTCGTTCTCTCGGTCTCCTGATCGCGTCCGGAGGATCTGTGATCGCCCGCGGCCGTGGCGGAATTTCGCCACGACGTTTTCGAGCGCGAGAGTGACTTGGACGGAGTCATCGTGTCATCGAGCACGCTTTCGATCAAGCTGCTCTCCCGAATCGTCATCGCGTCCGAGATAAGACTTTCTTGCCTTTCCGCGGAACGCGGCGATTTATCACCTAATGGCATCGCGACATCAAGGTCGACAGCGTGATCTCCGGGTGGTTTCGCGTTCGCTTTGTCCGGCGACGATCTTTCGCTCCTCGACGAAAGTCTCGTTTCCTCTGCGCGTCCTTCGAATCGAGCGTCCGGCATTCTCACGTCGAGCTTGGGCTTCGCGCCTCCCTTCGGCGATTCCTTCGATTCTGATGGATTCTTCGAAGGAGCTATTGAGACGCTGCTTATCGAGCTCTCGACGTCCTAAAGTTACAAAGTATTGGGTTAATGTCGCAACCAATTGCCAATTTTTGAAAGAAAAGAACAGAGTTGGGTAAGTTAATATTTTTTTTAAACTAAGTTAAGTTAAAGTTAACAATTTTAAAAACTTAACTTAGTTAAGATATAAATTAATCCAAAATAAAATTAATTAAAGTAAAAGCTAAGTTGATAAAAAATAATTCAAAAGTTAAAAGTTAAATTTTTTTAATTTCATAATTTTACGGTTTCTAAATTAAGGTTGCTAAATAAAATATATATTTATACTTGTTTCTGTCGAGTCGCAGAAAGAAGACCGATTTCGAAGGACTTCTTTCAGCATGATTTAATGTATAGAAAGTCTGCGAACGATGATTCTTTCCCACGGCCAGACTATTATATTTATTATATTATAACAATTTATTAACGCCTTGATGTGCGTTTTCAAATTTAAGTTTGAAGACGCATTATGAGGCCAGCGTAAAATCACGCAATAAAATGAAAAAATATTCCGCTCGATACAATAATAACGCAAAAAACAATAGGCCAAAGACGAGCAAATAAATCTAATGGATGTTCGATAAATTATTTATTCATGCAATGTATCGCGAATACATTGCATATTCGCGATACATTGCATGAATAAATAATTTATCGAACATCCATTAGATTTATTTGCGCGTATTTAGCCTATTGTTTTTTGCGTTAAGTTTGAAGATTTGAAACTGATAAACACAAATATATATTTTATTTTGGATTTACAAGGAGCACTAAAAATCTAACTTCAAGGAAGTTTATAGATCAAAAGTTAATATATTATAGTTACCAATAAAATGTAACTGAATTAAGTTACAATTTAAGCTAAGAGTCTAAAATGTAACTATAAATTAAGTTAAAATTATTTAACTTTTTAATTCAACTTTTATCTTTTTAACTATAAGGCACTACTCGACCCTGGAAAAGAACCTATATATAGCTAATTATTGAAATATTTCTCTAAAATATCAAGATTAAGTGACGTAATATTATACATAGAAATAAAAATATAGGTTAAATTGCATTATGCATTATTAAGCAACTTTAGTTCAAAACTTTAGGAATACCATAATTTTAATATTAATTTTTTAACATTAGAAAATTTATTTTACAGAATCCATTCTGTTTGTAAGTCTATTGGTTCTGTTTTTCTTTTTTTCAGAATATTCACCTCTTTCCATTTCTGCTCCTTGCGTTTCATCTTGTATTTTTCCTCGATTTCTTTCAGACGCGCCAGCGCCGCGTTCGCTTTCGAGGAGAGCATTTTCCTTCTCTTTTTCTTTTTTTCTTCGTCCGAGTGCTCAGTCGCTAAATTTAGCTGACAAACTTCTCCGCTCGAGTTTGCGCGTGTGAGAATCACTTGTAAATTTCAATTATTCACGCAGCAACGCGAGGACGCGTACCTTGATTTTGACGCGAGTTACGGTAAGTCATTCTATTCGTTCTCGCCATGACAAGTTTGCTTTCTCGTTGCCGAGGAAACGGCCTAATGCGTATCACGTACGCTTGATATCGATGGCCATCGAGAGTCATTAGGCTTATTTAATGTAAAATGTGTATGTATTCGCAGCTGAGTGTTTGCAGACAACCGGCTTTATCGCGCTTTCGAAATCAAAAGTGAAATTTTGATAACAATCACCTAATTGTATTTTTACAAGGAATTAACTTAAATATTCATTAATGAGGCCTTTCGTAAGGCAGTTTCAAACATTCTATTGATTCTTTTATCAATCACAAATTATTTAGATATTAATTATATACAGAAATTTGACACATTGAGAATGATATATTTTGGTAAAATCAGAGCTATAGAAAGTATAAAGGACAATTAAATCCTGTTTTCAAGTGGATTTTACTTTATATTTAATTGTATGTACAGTCGTGAACAGATTGGTTGCGACATTTTCTTTTATATTACCCGGGAAAAAATTTTTAATATAAGAACATATATAAATATATATAAACATATATAAAACTTAAAAATATATAATTATATATAATTATATGCAAAAATATGTTTATATATATATCCATATATATATGTTTCTTTCCTTTGTAAAATTATTCTTTAATACAAAAAAATGATAATAATAAGAAGAAAACATAAAAAATAATTAAAAAGATAATTTTTACATTGTTTCTTTTACAAAAAATCAAGTTTGAAGAAATGAGAAAAATTGCTCTGATCATACCAATACCTCAATCATACCTCTGATTTTACCAAAATATACATATATAATTATATATGAACAATTTTTTCTCATTCCACAAAACTTGATTTTTTGTAAAAAACAATGCAAAAATTATTCTTTTATTTTTTATGTTTTCTTTTTATTATTATTATTTTTCTTGTATCAAACAAAAATTTTACAAAGAAAGAAAACATATATGGATATGTATGGACATATTTTGCATATAATTATATATTTTTCTATATGTTTATATATATATTTATATATGCGTTCTTATATGAAAATTTTTTCCCGGGAGATTTCAAAACGCACTAATATTTTGCAAATGCGAACCACAGTGTTATACTGGTCTCTAAACTAAAGATAGTACATACATCGTGGTTCGCATTTGCAAAATATTTGTTACATAAAATATATAATATATATTAAATATATATTAGAAACCTATAAAAAAAGTGTCACAACCGATCTGTCCACGACTGTACACGCAAATATCAAAAAACACGCAAAATAACTAATTTTGAAAATCAAAGAGAGAAAAACCGCAAGAGATTTTCTTTTCGCGGAAACAAATTGTGAAAAATCCTTTCGAAAACGGCGCGCATTTTATCACCCAATCGGCGCTCTCCGTCCGCATCGGACGGCGCCCGTCTAAATTCGCGGCCGATTCCAACTTTCGCGCGCTGCCGTATCGACGACAGATAAGCGGCCGCGATCCATAATCAAATGCGGTACGTGACGCAAAGTTTGCACGTGTGGCGCGCGGTGAACGGAGGGAGCCGTCTTGACTGCCTGCGACGATCGCCGCGGCGCGGCGCGCACCGCCGCTGGGTTAAGCGTGGTCGGCGCTGATTGGCCGTCGCGGCTCCGCCAATCGGCGCCCTCCATCTGTCTGCCTCGACGGCCGCTAAACTCGCCAACCACGTCCGCGGAGCGGGCATTATCGGCCAGTTCGTTGTCGTGGCAGCAGGTGCCTTCACGTCGTCGTCGTCGTCGGTTTTCCTCGGACTCACGTCGTCGTATCGGCGTCCCAAAATGCGATCCCCCTGCGCGTTCGTCGTTCTCCTAGCGCTCGCCGTGGCCACGGCGGACGTGTATCTCGACGAGAAGTTCAACGATGGTGAGTAAAAGCTATGGAATCTTTCTGTCGATCCTTCGGGGCGACCCGGCCCGGCCCGGCCCGGCCGCGCGAAGAACCGTTCGCGCGGCGGCGGCGGTGGTTGGCTTCTCCCTTTGCCACGAAGACCGTCTTCGATTAAATCCAAGTACCGTGGATCTCTCGCGACGAACCACACCCTCGTTCATCCGCCGCGTACTCCGTTTTTTCCTCCCGCATCTTCCGACCTCCGAGAGAGAGAGAGAGAGAGAGAGGGTGAACGCCGCGAGGACACGAGGACGACGACGAGAACGACGACGTCGTCCACGTCGCGCGCGACGTGTCGCAGGAAGGGAAACGTGGACGGCGGAGAGCCTCTCCTTGATAACCGCACGCCCTGCCGCCCTCCGGCCTGTGGCCTCCGTGTTCTATCTCGCCGGCCGATGACGACGACGATGACGATCGACCGCCACGTATCTCGCGATATCGTTTTCCGACAGTTAACGTACGTACCACGGCGATCGTTAAGGACCGTATCGTGACACATCGTGTTTCCGCATTTCAAGCCGTGCATCAGCCATATGTGCCTCTGCGGAGCACTGGGGAGGGAGAGGAAAATTTAAAGAGAGAGAGAGAGAGAGAGAATGAGAGAAAAGGGAGGAGGGTAGACGGGTAGACGAACTGGAGAAGCATCGGGAGACCCGAGTGAGCGACACGCAGTCGGAAGTAGTTTCTCGTGGCAGTCGCCGTGTCCGCGCGGCATCTCGCCCGTCGCCGCCGCCGCCGCCGCCGACATGACGCCGCGCCGCACAGATCGATCCGTCGATCTGTGCGCGCTCGACTCCGGCGGACTGGAGTCAGCGGTGAACGGCTGGCGCGACGATGCAGAAGCGCGACGGTGCGGAGCGGATCTCGGAGCTTCGCCTTCGGATATTCGATGGACTCCGATCTCAGATCCGGAGGCGAGAAACTTTCAACTAAACGGGCTCCACAGGTCCGTTTGCGTCACCACGTATCTCCCTCTATCTCTGTCTGTCTGTCTGTCTGTCTCTCTGTCTCTCTCTCTCTCTCTCTCTCTCTCCTGCGCCTCCATATTCCGTTTTTCTCTATCTCTTCATCTCTCTCACATGAAGCCTCCACGCCGCCGTGACTGTCTCGCTTCTCGGAGTACAGAAAGTACCTCCGGCGAACGGATCTTTTAACGTCGACGTTATGTCCCGTTAAAATACAGAGGATCCTGCGAGAATCATCCCTCCGCGCGTACTTTGTCCTTCTTCGAGCCGTTTCATCCCAAGTGTTCATGAAATACACGAAGAAGATATATGAAGATATGAAGAAATACAAGAAGAAGATATGGACCTTGATTCTCTCTCTCTCTCTCTCTCTCTCTCTCTCTCTTTCGTAACTTGATTTTTTGCATGTCGAGTGGATGATGTGAATACTCGGGCCTTGGACAGAGAGAGAGAGAGAGAGAGAGAGAGAGGAAAAAGAATTGCAAATGGAAAACAGATCTCTTATGTTTATTCGGTGACAATGGAAGCGCGACGTACGACTAGCGCATCGTTTCTCCTTGTCTCTTAAAATATCGCGAAAACTTAAGTGCACACCGGCGAGAAATAGTGTTATCTTTTCGCCCGCCCGACGACCGTTACAGTTATACATCGTCGCCTGCTTAATTTTTAACCGGTTCTCGTCTCCCCCCCCCCACCCCTCATGTTCATCCTTCTACTCGCGATAAGAACACGCTCGTGGACACGTTGACTATTTATCGCTTTTTTCGATTAATTGAGATTTCGGAAAATTCACGCAATTTTTCGCATCTGTTAAGTAAACTTATATTAATAAATAATAAATGTGTACATTTGATGAAATGTAAATTTAAATAAATATTTTGTTAAATAAATTGTGTGATTGCAGTTGGTAAAATATGCATTGATGATTATTTACATTTATGTCGATTCACAAAGGAACTGTCATGTATTTCAGATTCATGGGAAAAGAATTGGGTCTATTCCGAGCATCCCGGGAAGGAATTCGGAAAGTTCGTTTCAAGCTACGGAAAGTTCTGGAACGATCAGGAAAATGATAAAGGTACTTGAGAGAGATATATAGTTAACTTGGTGCGAAAAATATAAAATTCGCTTGTAAAACTGTCAAATTTTTTCCCCCTCAGGCATCCAGACGTCGCAAGACGCGAGGTTTTACGCTCTCAGTAGGAAATTCACTCCGTTCGGCAACAAGGATAAGGACCTTGTCATTCAATTTACCGTGAAACACGAGCAGAATATCGACTGCGGAGGTGGATACGTTAAAGTGTTCGACTGTTCCCTCGATCAGAAAGATATGCACGGTGAAAGCCCTTATCAGATTATGTTTGGTAAGTTTTCCCCTTCCGCCTCACGCGCGGAATGTCCTATTGATAACGAACAATCGATCCCGAGCCTAAGAGTCACTGATCATACATACAGAGTGCGATGAGTGCTATAGGAACTCGGAGAGAAATACTCTTTCATTATGCCCTGTGATATTGTAATTATACATATGGCAGGCACCAGAAAAGATACATTTATCACGGGAACTGTCTAATTAGCTTAGATAAAGTTCGAGTTATCTTGCTCGATTTGCATGAAAAAAGTTATATAATTTAGAAATAATTACGCGCGAGATGATTACGTGAATAAAAGTTAAATATATGTAATGATACTTGACCCTCCTTGTTATTAATTTCAATTAAATACGATATATTTGTCTCTATACAGGGCCGGATATTTGTGGTCCCGGAACCAAGAAGGTTCACGTTATCTTTAGCTACAAAGGGAAGAATCTTTTAATCAACAAGGACATCCGTTGCAAGGACGACATTTACACGCATTTGTACACTTTAATCGTTAAACCCGATAACACCTACCAGGTAAATATATACGCTCTACGTGCCACAGGGTGGGTACTGCCGAGAAAACTATGGAATTCTCAGGAAATTTCATTTTTACCCTTGAAAATCATGGATTCTCATGGAATTTGGATACTCGGGGAAATTTTTTGAATTTTACTTTTAAATTTAATTTTATCTCTTTAGAGTTTAGAAAGTAAACGTGGCCCCATATTGAAGGCCCCTGATATTGAAAGTTAATTTATTTTAAAATACTATATAAAGATTTTAATCTAAAAAAAAACGATAATTCAGAAATTATAAATCAGACATTAAGAGTTCAATAACGCAGAACTTGGTGCGTGAAACAATTTAATCTTCGCATATGTAGTTACATCTCCATACAAAAATCTTTCGTTACGTTCGAAAAATTTTGTATGGAGATGTTGTACATATGAGAAGATTAAATTGTTTCACGCATCAAGTTCTAAACGTTATTAAAACTCTTAGTGCCTAATTTATTTTAAAGCTGTGTTGAGAAATTCTCTAATCTTACCTGGAATTTTGAATAAAATTCCTGGAAAATCCGGGAATTTTCAGGCAATTCTTTGAAAAACAAAATTTGAGTACCCGCCCTGTGTGTGAAATTTTATAAACACATTGTAAGCATTGTCGAGCCTAGAGTCACATGTTCTCACTGATCACCGTGGAGGATAGGTGCTACAGGATCTCGTAGAATAAAGATTATCTTGTTTGTTAATCGTACAGCGACAATCTCGCTCGCTGTACGGCATCTTGCAAGGATCAACATGTCAACATCATGATATCGCTAAACGAAAGTTTATCTGGCGCGATGATTTTTCAACAAAATTGTTTTTCCTTTTTTCTTCAGGTTCTTATTGATAACGAGCAAGTTGAGTCCGGCGAGTTGGAGGCGGATTGGAGCTTCCTGCCTCCGAAGAAGATTAAGGATCCATCTCAGACGAAGCCTGCCGACTGGGACGACAAACCCAGCATCGACGATCCGAACGATAAGAAGCCCGAGGACTGGGACAAGCCCGAGCACATTCCCGATCCCGAGGCAGTTAAACCCGAGGATTGGGACGACGAGATGGATGGCGAATGGGAAGCGCCCATGATTGACAATCCTGATTACAAGGTTCGTTTCGTACACCGACACTCAGCTGCACGTGCATTCAGAAAGCACTTCAGCCAGAGGATTTTCCTTCCTCATACCTCTGTCGTTGCTCTTACAATTATATAATTGTTCAGGGTGAATGGAAACCGAAGCAAATCGAGAATCCCAACTACAAGGGACCGTGGATCCATCCCGAGATCGATAACCCGGAATACACGGCCGATCCCGAGCTGTACAAGCGTGACGAGATTTGCGCTATCGGTTTTGACCTGTGGCAGGTTAAATCCGGCACCATTTTCGATAACGTTCTGATCACCGACGATCCGGAGGTCGCGCACAAATTTGGAGAAGACGTCTGGAAACCCACCTTCGTAAGCACTTTACTCACATTATTGCGACTCCTCATTCATTTGTCCAGATTACCGATAGATAACTCAAGATCGCGTAGATCTCCTTAAAGTTTTAAACAGATGGATTGAAAAATGTTTTGCTCATTCTCTCAAAATTAACAGGAAGGCGAGAAGAAAATGAAGGAATCGCAGGACGAGGAGGAGAGGAAACGGAGAGATTTGGAGGCCAAGGAGAGCGAGGATAACAAGGACGACGAGGACGAGGAAGAGGTGGACGAGGAGGAGCACACTCAACCAGACAATGAAGTAAGTGTCGACTCTGCATTCGCGCGAATTTTTCACGTCTTATTTTTGAACAAGATTTTGCGAGACTTAAATTCGTGCGCATGATGTGTTCATATCTTTTCCGATATCTACTGACGAGAAAAATTGGAATTCCTCGTTTCTGAATGTAAACGCTCCAACAAACCCACCCACGATCCTCGGCCACGAATCAACGATGTTAACTCGTGTTTCTCTTGTTTATTTCGCAGGAGCATGACGAATTGTAAATAAACGTGTCGCGTGTGGACACAAAATACACACAGACTGTATTCCAGGAGCTACGTGGTCGCGACACGCACTAAAATCCTCCCACAGGCACAAAAATTGTAATCCTAAAACGACACACAATAGCGCAAGAAAGGCAGGATAATACCCTCGTCGATCACCACCCACGTCGCCCGCTGCCGTCGCCTCGCCAGGAACGTTAAAGCGGAATTCGAGTGAATTCCGCTTTAAGCTTCTGAACCTGCAAAGTTTCTCGCTCGGTTTTTCGCTGTTGTGTTGTTGGCCTTCAAGTCGCAACGCGCCTAAAAAAAATAAAAATAAAAAAAAACATTCGTAGCCACCCCAAGAAACTTTCTACTCGAGTGAGTCTATTATCCTGAGATATCGCACGCTTCAAGATCAAGTGGTCGACATTTCTGCAAAGTGTGTGTGCTGGAATACGGAAGAACGGATATTAGAAGAAAAAAAATAGAAGAAAAACAGAAAGAAGGGAAAGAGAGGTGTGTAGGGAAGAGAGAGAAACGTGCGAGAGAGTCGTCGTCGTCGTCTGGTCCGTGTCCACCATCGGCGCAGCTCCGCAAAGACTCTAAGTTGTTCCGTTTTTGTTTGTCAAGTGTTTTTATATACATTAAAAGGTAATTGAGATGTAATTTAAATAACACGATGCTATATTATATATAATATATACATTATTTCAATTTCCGTACAATGTACGCATAATTCAGAGAAAGAGAAAAACTCGCGCGCTCCGATTACAACAAATAAAAATAAAATATAAAAATAAAAGCAAAAGTAAGAATGATAGATGTGTGCAAATGTGAGCTGAGTGAGATGACAATTGGTATGATTATGTATCAGAGGCAGTCCAATAACCATGTAATAAAATAAAATAAGACTTTTCTAGATGTGCTCAGGCGTTTATTTTCGTGGAGTCACACTAAAGCGCTCGCCTCTCGATCGAAACTCGCGCGAAAAAAAAAACCTCCCCACAGTCCTGTTGCTGATCTCCATCTTCATCGTTTATAGTAATGTGTACGAATCGATTTTGCGCAAATTGCTTCCAATTACCATTGTATATGTACATGCATATACATACACGCTATTTTATTGTATCATGTTCGAGTATGGTTAATCTTGTACAACTCGCATTTTTATATCGGAAAATAAACTGACATAATTTTTCTCCGAATCGTGACTATTTCGTGACTTATAAATTATTATTTCTTTATTTTGGTATACAGCGTGACTTAACTAGAATATATATATATATTGTAGATTTATCTCGTGGATTGACGCGCTATATATTAGATTCCGTCTGATTCACGTTGATATTCGCGCTCATAGAGCGACCAAAGTAAAAGATTTACATCATAAATAACAGAAAGATGATTAATATTAAAGTATGGTCGACGTCGACGAAATGGTTGAGACATTGCTGCCTCTCGATGTAATCTATGTCTCGATGTTCTCTACACATGTGACACTCGATAAGAACTTGTTTTACGAGAATAGTTGAAAAAACAAATCATCATTTTCAACATCGATACGTAACAAATACTTATATCTTGCGTGATTTCTATCTACCTATCTAACTTCAGTCTGCTTCGTACTGTCTCATTGCGTGGAAATCACATTAATTAACGTGTAACATATTAATTAGATCCTCTCGGCTTTTTCCATAAATTAAATAGTAACAAATAATTTTACGAAAGAAAGAGAGAAAAAACTCTACACGCACTGGGTCGAGAGCCAGTCGAGACCCTGCAACGTACCGCTGGCATTGGTCACCAACGACGAGCCCTGAATGTGCCATATTCTCGCGCAACAAAGTTTATGCAAGCCGAATATATCGACCAGCTCCTCCACACTCGCACAGCCGGAAACGTCCTGTAAAAAAAGGTATGTGCTCGAATACAAATCTTACACTAACGTAAAAGCAGGAAAAATGTTACATATATGTCCATTTCTACCGATGTAGATTAATTTTAATCTCGGTTTAATTCACCGTTTATCTTTTTCCAATTTTTAGAACTGGAAAAAGATGAAAAATAAGTTAAACCGAGATTAAAGTTAATCTACATTGGTAGAAATGAAGTCTACCTGTTTATTGGCGTAGATCAAAAGAAGAGCGTCCTTCAGTTCTCGGTCGAAAAGTATCTTCGACAGCTCTTTCCGCGCCTCTTCGAAGCGAGACCTGTCGCTGGCGTCGATCACGAAGATAATGGCCTGCGTGTTGTGGTAGTAGTGCTTCCACAACGGTCGAAACTTCTGCTGACCGCTAACGTCCCAGAGGGTAAACACGAGATTCATGTACTCCAGGCTCTCGACGTTGAAGCCGATGGTGGTGATCGGCGGGCTCGGCAGCGTGACGCCACGCATGGCCGACAAAATGCTCGTTTTTCCCGCCCCGTCCAGTCCCAGGATCACCACGCGCATATCGATCTTCGTTCCAATGTGTATCTTGTTGTCCTGTCGTAAGATAAAGCGTTGGAAACATTATTTGTTATCTATGTTAAAAAAAAAGTTACAAATTCAGGGATCGGTAAAATAACTGATACATCTGTTTAAAAAAATCGATAGAAAACGATATAATTGGTTTAAAGAATTATCATGTATAAATAATTCATTACGATAATGTTTTAATTATTTATTTATGATAAATTTTATCAAAATAATATAAAACAATAAGTTACTTTAGAAATTCTATCGATATTTCACTGATTAAAATTGTTTTTATCAGATAATGAAAGAAAACGATAGGAAACGATAACATTTCTTTCGGAATAGAAAAAGTGGGACGATAGACACGATAAAATATTTGGCAGATCCTATCAGTTCTTATCGTTTTTTTATCGATTCTTTTTAGCAGGGGCGACTTATTTAAAATAACAAATACAAAATAGATTCCATAAACTTATTTAAAATAAAATATCGCAGGGGGGCCAATAAAAAACTGATACGATGACTTATTTAAAATATAAAATATAAAATAGATTTCAAAAACATATTTAAAATATCAAATAAAAATAGATCAGAAGAAATTATTTAAAATAATAAATACTAAATAAAAATTCTTTTACTTTTTTAATTTAAAATACATATTTTAAAATACATATTTTAAATATATTTTTTTTAAATACCATCGATCCCTGATAAACAAGTCGATAAAGTAACTGATATAACCTATTTAAAATAACAAATATAAAATAGATTCCAAAAATATATTTAAAATATTAAATATAAAATAGATCAGAAGAAGCTATAAAATAATAAATACTAAATAACTCTTTTACTTTTTGTTATTTAAAATACATATTTTAAATGTTATTTTAAATACGACCGATCCCTGGTTAAAATATTACAGAAAAAAAATGGAGTAAATCATACAATTTAGTACTCATTTTCATTGAAAAAAAAAAAAACTGAAAATACGAACCCTGCTAATTATAATGGGAATGGAGGACTCGGGACTGAGAAAATCCGGTCCTAATTGCGCGTAATGTTGCTGCTGCTGCTCCAACGTCGCCAGCACCTCCTTGACTTTTTCCGAGCTGTTTAACAGCTTCCAGTCCTCGGAGTCGAGTATGCTTTCACACTGAATGCACACAGCGGCCACCTGTGACCTCGTGGCCGTGAGATCCTTCTGCTGCTGCCGCAGCGCGCAAAGTTTACCGCGCGTCTCCGTCTCGATGTACGCCATCGCCGTCTTCTCCTGCTCAGCCAGAACGGCGCGCAATTCCTCAAAGTGATATCGCACCCTCCTCCTCGCGTCTTCGATCGCCCAGCCTTCCAATTCTCCGATTACTATTTCTGAAAATACAAGAATTGAGAAATGATGAAAGACGAATTAGAGAATAGTTTAAATATTGAGAATTTTAAAACAATTTTTATTAAGAAAATCATTTCAATCTTATATTCTTTCTTTTAATTTGCTGAAATTAGGTATAGTTTTCAGAGAAAAAAAATAGAAAAAGATAAATAAAAATAAGTTAAACTAGACTGCGTAAGTAAATACCACAAATAAAGCAAAATTATATATTAGCTCATATTTGGAAATAAAATAAAACCTAGAGGGAATAGAGGCCAATAAAAACGAGCAAAAAAGAAATATTGTAATATATAATTTAATTTAATAAAATTATATGAGTATATTACAGCAACTCTTGTTTGCTCATTTTATTGGCCTCTATTATTGTAATATATAATTTAATTCAATAAAATTATATGAGTATATTACAACTCTTGTTTGCTCATTTTATTGGCCTCTATTCCCTCTAGAATTTATTTACCACAAATAAATTTGAATGCTTTCTATGGTCAAGGCTGGATCTTGGTGCCTAACAATATTTTTTATGTAAATTCTATATCTTCATTCAGCCATTTAAATTGTGCTGAATTAATGTTAGACTTGCAACGCAAATCATCGTAAGCTAAAGCTGGAATATACTGAGATCATAATTATTATATATTGATCTCTTCAATTTTTAACAATACGAGGCGAATAAGCATCTTACAATTTCTTTGCAGTATTTTAAATTGATAATTTTGATAATAAAATTTTGATAATAAAAACGATGCTTATTCGCATCGTTTTTTTATTATCAAAAAATGAAGATAATAATAATTGTCATCTCACAGTTCCAGCTTCAGCTTATAATTCCGTTGCGTTGCAAATTTTGACATTAATTCGACACGCAATTTAAATGGCTGGATTTAGAATTCACACAGAAATATTATTAGGCGACTGCAAGATTCAGCCTCGGCCGTAGAAGACGTTTTCGGGAAAAGATAAACTACCTATCTTGTGTGCGGTATCTCTCATGCTTTCCATAAACTGCGTCATCTTTTGTAACGCCGCGATAATGGATTTCCTGATATTTTCGGCTTCCTCTTCGACCAATGCGGGCTGTAATTTAAATTTAAAACATAGATAAGATGTTATATAGCAGGAATATGTACCGCCGTGGATACAAAGAGGAAAGATTACAATATTATATACCTTGTGCGTACTGTGTTTGCCGTACTCCTTACACAAGTAGCACATCAGGGAGTTGTGACAGCCCTCCTGGGTGCACGTGAACTCGGCCACGTGCGCCGTGTGTATCGGACAGCGCGGCTTCTCGCGCGGCTTCTCCGACAGCGGCACCCGTCTGTGCTTGCCCAGGGTCTTGGACGAGTGCGTGGCGGTGTCGCAGGCCTCGCAAAGGTGCGTGGCGCAGACGGTGCAGTAGAGAACCGCGGTGTGCGCCTCGTCCTCGTCGCACGACAGATTCGACTGCAGCTTCTCGCGCTCCAGCACCAGCGTCTTCTGGCTGTTGGACTGCTCCAGCCGTTCGAGCAGCTCGATGAGCGCGAAGTTCTTCTTCAGGCTGTATACGCTGTTCTCGTGAACGGCGGTGGGCTGCCGGTCGAACGGGCAGAGCAGAAACTGCTGCTCCGACATGCAAGTCCTCAGTCGCAGCAGGCACGAGTGGCACACCGTGTGTCCGCAGTGCAACAGACGCGGCACCTTCATACCGTCCACCGTGAAAACCTCCTCGCAAACGCGACATTCCAGCACCTGCAATCAATATGTTTGCAATTATAATCATTCCAAGTTTCGAAAAAAATGTTTAAGTTAAATTTATGTTTAGCTTTCAGTAAGCTCGACAGAGTGAACACATATCCCATATACAGCACAGATCACTGCAGCAAAATTGCAACGTTCCAACAATATATTGCAGCAGTATTATAACGTTGCAGCAAGTTTCTGTGCTGTATAGAATCTAACTAAACCTTCTTCGACGTGTCTATGAATTATTAAATTTCTAAACAGTTTGATTTTGAGTGACTGTGGCTAAATAGCTCGACAGAATGACACATCCCATGCAGCACAGATCATCGCAGCAACATTGCAATGTTCCAACAATATTGCAGCAATGTTGCTGCAAGTTTCTGCACTATATAGAATATCTAACTGAACTGTGTCCTTCGACGTATCTATAAATTATCAAGTTTCTAAACAGTTTGATTTTGTAACAATATTATAACGTTGCAGCAATGTTGCTGCAAGTTTCTGTGCTGTATAGAATCTAACTAAACCTAATTCTTCGACGTGTCTATAAATTATTAAGTTTCTAAACAGTTTGACTTTGAGTGACTGTAACCAAATAGCTCGACAGAATGACACATCCCATGCAGCACAGATCATCGCAGCAACATTGCAATGTTCCAACAATATTGCAGCAATGTTGCTACAAGTTTCTGCGCTGTATAGAATATCTAACTAAACTGTGTCCTTCGATGTATCTATAAATTATCAAGTTTCTAAACAGTTTGATTTTGTAGCAATATTATAACGTTGCAGCAATGTAGCTGCAAGTTTTCGTGCTGTATAGAATCTAGCTAAACCTTCTTCGACGTGTCTATAAATTATTAAGTTTCTAAACAGTTTGATTTTGAGTGACTGTGATCAAACAGCTGGACAGAATGATATATTCTATACAGCACAGATCATCACACCAACATTGCAATGTTCCAACAATATTGCAGTAATGTTGCTGCAAGTTTCCTGCACTGTATAGAATATCTAACTGAACTGTGTCCTTTGACGTATCTATAAATTATCAAGTTTCTAAACAGTTTGATTTTGTAGCAATATTATAACGTTGCAGCAATGTTGCTGCAAGTTTCTGTGCTGTATAGAATCTAACTAAATCTTCTTCGATGTGTCTATATAAATAATTAAATTTCTAAACAGTTCGATTTTGAGTGACTGTGATCAAATAGCTCGACAGAATGATACATCCCATGCAGCACAGATCATCGCAGCAACATTGCAATGTTCCAACAATATTGCAGCAATGTTGCTGCAAGTTTCTGCGCTGTATAGAATCTAGCTAAACCTTCTTCAACGTGTCTATAAATTATTAAGTTTCTAAACAGATCGATTTTGGGTGACTGTGACAAAATGCCGATTCAATCGATAAAAATGCAAAACTTGTAATAACGATATATAGTCGGTCGTGCCTGAAAAATCTCCACAAATCTTTCAATTAATAAATCCTATTTGTCTCAACGCGCGACACTACGGGATATACATAATCTCTCGACAATCGGGAGTCTGTTCTGAGCCACCCCTGACGCACCACTGTCGTTCCAACAACAAATCTTACACAGGAAGACTCACATTTAATTTCGGCGCCGTTTTCAGCGAATGCTTCGCGTTATATTTACTCAGTCGATCCGCGTCCTCGTCCATCGCGCGGAGAGATCCGTATATATATCTCCCGTCCCGATTTGCGATTTGCGGAACGGGACGGGGGCCGACGTAGAGGTTAACTTTAAATGGCAAAATCCGCTCTGCGCGTGAAAGCGGATTTAAATCATCGGAGCCAGCCAGCCAGGATGGGAACCGCGAAGTGACGCAGCGACACACGTGTATGTGTGTGTGTGTGTGTGTGTGTGTGTGGCGTGTGCGCACCACACGACGCTGCGAGCTGCGGAACTACTTAACTCACATTCTCACTCATCCGCTTCGCAGATCGCGAATACGCGAATATTTCTATTTCTCCCTTCGCTGTTTCTCCACTCTTTTCTCCGCCTTTACTGATTTCACTGCCAGTGTTGCCGCAATAAAAATATTAAATAAACTAACTTCTAGTGACAAAAATGTTACTTTTTAGAAGAAAATTATTGCGAATAGAAATAATCGAAATAATGAAATAATATGCATAAAATGAAATTTATACATAAAATATAAATATATATATTTATATATAAATATAAATAATATATCTGGAAAGCTCCATACCCTCCATAAGGAAGTCTCCGTCCCTGGCCGGAAAAAGTACAAAATTTGTTAAAACCAATCACAATTAAGTTGCACTGCCATGTTTATTCTGATTTCATAATTCCGCAAAAATGTTCGATAACAGAAATGAGAAAAAGTGAAGAAAATGTTTTTTTTTTTTCATTAATAAGTGCTACGTGAAATGTGAATTAATTAATAGAATTAGAAAATCGGAAAGCAACAATTCTGCTTTTCTTCGATCTCAAGTGTGAACGCTCCCTTATATTTATTGTAAATATCGCTTTAGAAGGGTAGAAGACATATTTCACAAGAAGATATTCTTAATTTTTTTATTTTTAATTCCGACAGTTACCAGCTTCAGTCACTGACAGAATCACTTTGGAATGGATCGAGACACCTCTGCGGACAGCCGGCGTTAACCGCGATGTGCTTCGTGAGAACCGTGCGGAGTTAACCTCGTCACACGAAAATTTCGCAGTCCGGCGAAATATGAACGTCTGTTTTAACGAATTACGATGGATTGCCTAAAACAGCCGGCATTTGTGGTAGGAGATATCGACGAGGATATCAATCTGTCGTTGCCACCCTCCTCCGGGGAGGAGTACATCAAACGAGTGGTGTAAGCTGATGTTTTCTCGGCCGCTCCTTTTTCATCCCCTTAGAATTTTTCCAACTTCAGGGGCGTCTTTGTTTCATGCTGTTCCATGTTTCATTGCAGAATAGAAGCCAGACAGTGCGCGGATGTAGTGGTGGCCGATTTGAATCCATCCTGTGTGAAAAAACCAACGAAAGCCTACGTCGAGACTGTAAGTTAATTCCTGTCATCAAAAATCACACGCCTGTAAATCCTTAGCAACGTGTGTATGTGTGTGAATCAGCGTGACTGTAAAAGTTGGCAGGATGCGTTCAAGCGCCGGCGAACCTCAGGCCGACTCAGGAATGGCAGCAGTATCAGGTTGCGGACTTCTCCAAGCTGAGGCTATACGTAAGCCGACTGAAGGACGAGATCCTGATAGGCAAGCGCAAGTGGAGACCACCTGACATTCACTTGGTATACAAGTATTTCCAGGGATTGGAAGTAACTCGTTACTTGTAACGCCGTTACCGTTACAGTCCCTTTTTTTGATAACGGATTGGTAACGACGTTATTTTGTTTTTTTTTTTGGTAACTGTAACGGTAACGTAGTTACATTTTTTCGATAACGAATTATACAGTTACTTTTTATCGTTACTTTTTGTATTTTGAACTTTTTGCATTTATGACAAAATTTTCGTATGTATATTCAATCTTCAGTTTTAAGCTAGTATTCACATAGTTTACTCTTATTTTAAGTTTCCTGTTTTAAATAATGTCTTAAAATATTAACATGACTCTGCGATTGGCTTATGACATCTTAAGAATGCCATAAGTCAATTAATATCACAAATTAAATTGACAAGTACTTTAATAAGATATTTTTACGTTATATATGCATCTTGAAATACTTTAAGAAATTTATTGTGAAAAATATCAGCTGAATTGCGTTTCAAGATTGAAAATTTAATTGGTGCATAGTTTGTAAAATTGGATCTGTACATATAAATTTATTTCGAAATATTAAGCACGAAGCTGGAAGTTCTAACTCATCGAAAAGGCCTTCATTTTCCTAGTTGTATTTTTATATATTGGTCTAGTGTCATTGTTGTATTACTTTTTTTTAACCCGTTGTGGTCACACCTCTGAAAAATAACATATTGGTCATGCTGGGTCCGCGGGACCCAGAGCAGAAATGTAGTTGCCATTCTTAAAATGTAGTGGCCTCTTCGATGTATCGACTTGAAACTTGAATTGAAGTTAGTTTAAGATCTCTTTTGTGTAATGCAATGCGTATTTTATATTTATTTATTTTTTTTAATGTTGAAAAACCTTTGACAAAAAAATTTTCGCTAATTTTATCTTTTTTCACAGAAAAGTTTTCTGTGAAAAAAGATAAAATTATTTTGATTAAATTATTTTGAGCGGTAGTTATAAAGATATTTAGATGTGAATTTTGCCTGGGTCCCTGGGACCCACAATGATCATCCCAGATTAATATTAAAACAAAAAATTGCATCATAAATTATTTAGATTGATCTTGTTTCAGCATTAAAAAAGTAACGGAAAAGTAACGAATCGTTACTTTTTAAGTGACAGTAACGATAACGAGTTATTTTTAGAAATCAGAAACTAGTAACGGTAACTAGTAATTTTTTTAACTCGATAACGAGTAACGATAACTAATTATTTTTAAAAAGTAACTTTCCATTCCCTGAGTATTTCACAAAACACTTGTCGAAAAAATTAAAAAGATTTCAAGCTATTTCAATTTTTCGATTGATGTTGCAGCCAGACATAGACGATCAAAGTGCTTGGATCAGATTCTGCTTGGGTGGCGAAGAGAAGATCGAGCCGACGCTGAACACTCTGTTTAGCTTCAGTCAGGCGAGCGTGGAGCAGGTGCTCGAATATCTGGTGCAATTCGTGGAGACCGAAAGGAAAATTGAGTACAGAATAGGCCAGTGGATCTACACGTTACTCGCCAACTTGGAGCAACCGTTGCAACCCGACACTTGTTCCTGCCTGCGTTCATTGGCTCGAGCGTGCTCCGTCATTCGCGCCGATTCTGTAATATTCGTTATTTGATCAAGCCAATCTCAATGTCACATTGGAATTAAATCAACCAATATCGTTCAGTGCCTTGGAAAGAAAGAAGAGAAAATGTCTCTCGAGAATGTTGTTTGTTCAATCTTACTCAACAGGTTTAGGTCAAGTGCTTCTCGAATCGCGTAATATGCAGATTTGCAAAAAGTGCGCGCCGCGCAAAAATTTCAAGATCAAACACTGCATGCCTCGATAAACATATGAAAGATACGCTGTTTTAAGTAGAAAATTAAATATATTTATCCTTTTTCTTAACTTCAAACTATGTAATCTATTTGGTATAAAAGAAAGCATTTGTTTGAGATAAAAATAGAAGATTTGGATAATCACATTTGACCGTAAAAAAAGCCTAGAGTCCGTATTTCTTTTCTAGTATAAAAATATATTGGTTCTTTTAGTTCCAAAGCATCAGTTTTTAGATTTTTCAAAGAAAAGTTCAGCTAGCGGCTAATTTGTTGCCGATGTCGATCTAAAATAACGGTGGAGAGAAGAGAGGACAAGAGGGAAAACAAGCCGAATTTCTATTAACAAAACATTTTTATTGCATAACTTCCTGTTTTCTCTACTCACGCAGCTGCTATGTCGTATATTCCCGATATTAGAAAAAGGTTCAGGCGATCAATAAAAACTCGCGTTTGTCAGATTACAAAAGGTTGAGAAAATAAGAGACTGAACTTTTCTTCTATGTTTCCTAAACTAGCTCTCGTCGTCTCTCGATCTTAATATCTACAAGAGTTCACGTCGTAGAATTCACTAGCGTCATCTTTCTCTCGCCACTTTTTTGTCCTATTTTTCGTTTTGTTTTTTTTTTATAGAGAGAACCGGACGCGCAGGAACTGGGGGCGCTGAATTTATTCATCTGTCTAGTAGCGAGATACTTTCGTCAGTTGGACTTGGCAGATCCTTGACAATTTCCCCATTTGTGCATTATGATATAATAATTATTTTATGACGCGACACGACATATATCTGTATACAGCAATTTTTTTTTAATAAACTCTACATAAGATTATGTTCTGACCTTAGATCCCGAAGAACGTGAATATTAAGTGAACGTTAAGTTTCGAATCTCGCTCTCTTAGTCATTACGGATTGCGCTTTAAATTACACAGTATTACCAATTATTTAAGGGGCACGATATATAATATATAATATAAGGCAATGATGCTTCAATTAAATAAACTCGTATTACAATAATCAATCGGTAAGCGAAAAATTGTGGATAAACCTCGGATCGTCGATCGACCCTTAAGCTACGTTCTCTTGGTCCTGGAGTAACGCAGTGGCTAGTCTCTCTAGATCATCGTAACTAAGATTATTCACTTTGTTTTTCAAGTCCTTTATCAGCTCATTGACTATGGACTCGGTCTCGGACACCGTGTAGTAATGCCTGAGCACTCGCGAGACCTCCTCCCTCAACAGATGAACGCCAGTCTTTTGCTGGGGCAAGGATCTCGCCTCGCTGGAGCCCTCCTCCGCCTTCTTGATCACCAGGAGATTTAATTTACTGCCATCCTTGATTCCCGGGTAAAAACTCAGCGGATTCTCATCTGAAGCCACCAAACGAGAAAGACATTTCATAATTCAAGAAATCCATAGTGATGTATAATGGGATGAGATCGGGTGATTCTTTACTAGGGCTGGTAATTTGCTTCGCGAAGGCTTCGACATTCGAACTTCGAAGTTTCAAAGCTCAGTGGATTTTCATCTGAAGCCACCAAACGAAAAACGGAAAAACATTCAATAGTTCAAGAAATCATAGTGATGTATAATGCCAGGATGAGATCGGATGATTCTTACTAGGGCTTGTAATTTGCTTCAAAGGCTTTGACATTCAAACTTCAAAGCTTCCAAGTTTAAGGCTTTTGAAACTTCAAAGCTACGAAGGCCTTAAACTTCGAAGGGTCGAAGTTAACTTCAAAACTTCTAAGTTTAAGGTTTTCGAAACTTCACAAAACTTCGACATTCTTTTGAAGCTTCTAAGTTTAAGGCTTTCAAAACTTCACAAAACTTCGACATTCTTTCGAAGCTTCCAAGTTTAAGGTTTTTGAAACTTCAAAGCTACGAAGGCCTTAAACTTCGAAAGATCTAAGTTAACTTTGAAGCTTCTAAGTTTAAGGCTTTCGAAACTTCAAAGCTTCTAAGTTTAAGGCTTCCGAAACTTCAAAGCTTCGAAGCTTCAACTGTCGAATTTTAAAACTTCTAAGTTTAAGGTTTTCGAAACTTCAAAGGCCTTAAACTTCTTTGTATATTCGGAGTAAATAAAAAAATAGCCCTAATTCTTACCTGCTAAAGTTTTGCCAGTGAGCAACAATCTTTGCTGCGGCACATCGATGCCCAGGAGATCGCTCACTTTGTGCTTCAACTCCAATACTGTCTCCGACGGTAGTATCTGAAATCACGCGTAATAAGGACTTGAAGATAATCTTCACCAGAAGAAGAGTTCTCTCGAAAGAGACATTCGAGATTTGGGGGGGGGGGGAAGAAGCGAGGAAGATAAAAACAAAAAAAAAACTGTTGATGTCAGAAAGAGAGTCTCGTCCGAAAGGCAAACTATGCATCTTAAAAATCTCTTGCCTAACGGACTTGCTTTCGAGCACGTGAATTCGTTAATTTAAGATAATGGTTGGAACGTTAGCTCGGAGTATCAATCTACGACGGGGTTCAGATTAACGCTTCAGATCGGAAGGAAAAATCGGATGTGGATGCCCGGTGCAGGAGGAGAGGGGGAGGGAAAGGGCGCGCGCGCGCGCGACACAGCAGCCGCGTTAACTCACGTCGACGACGCACTCTTTCCCCTGCAGCTTCTTCACGATCACTTTCATGATGGTGCGTGTGTGTGTGTGTGTGTGGCCGAGCGGCGCGTGGATCGCGGCGGAGACTCGGGGATTGTCGTCGGGTTTTATACGCGACGCGCCAGCGATTCGCAGCGAGCACGCGTGTGCGCGGCCAGGGAAACGGCGCGCGGGATCAGGTTTCGCGAACGAACAGCGACGACTCCGGCTGGACCGACGAGGGCTGGCGCATCTTACGTTACGCGCGCCGTGAGAGGTTATATTTTGCGCTCGCACGATTCATCGGCGGCACGGCGTCATCGGCGTCATCGACCGTTCCCTCTGTTTGCCTAATCCGCTGCCCGCCTGCGGCCTGCCTCTCCCTTATTAATGCCTCTTCAGTCTTCTCTTCCTCCTCCTTCTCCTCCCTCAGGAACAGCGGCGCGACGACGCGGGTATCGATACTGACGTGACGACCGTCCGAGCGGATATCGACAGCGACAGCGATGCCTCGTGACAATTCCTCCAATCGTCGCCGCACTTCACTGGCATGATACACTCCCGTCTCTCCGAGTCGCCGCTCGCTCCGAGTCGCCCGTTAATCCTTCACGCGCGCGAATTTGTCCTCCCTGCGCTGCGCTGCGTAACGCCGCGTAACCTGCGTTCCTTATTCGACCTCCTTTCTTTCCCTGCCTCTCTCTCTCTCTCTCTCTCTCTTTCTTATCGAGCCTCTCGCACTCTCGTCCTCTCGACTCTACACGGCTGCGCGCTGGGAGCATGATTTGTCCTTGTTTAACGTTCGATAAACAACGGATAACATGATTGAACATTGCTAAGCGCCAAAAGTGTGAATAGAAGGCTGCGTTCAGAAACTTCGCCTAGGTGCATGTAGATATCATTTTATCCTTGTTTAACATTCGGTGAATAACAAGGACAAAATGATGTACCGTGAATTCTTGAACGCAGTTCAGACAACGATTATGGCAGCATAAAGCCATAATCACACTAGCGATTGAGATTGAGGTTGAGATCAGTTGAGATTGGATTGAAATTTGACCAATCAGAAGAAAAATAACTAATATCAAGTTTAGTAAATTTTGTTTTGATTGGTCAAATCCCAATCCAATCTCAATCTCAACCGCTAGT